GGGCAGGGCCCTGTAAAAGCATATTGCAATAATTGAACCATGAGGCATAGGTGGCTATCTGAAGAGCTTCATGATCCAGAAAAAGTCATAACTTATCAAACTCCACCTTGATGGAGTTTAATCAGTCTAGTGACTTTTGGGGAAGGTCTGCTCGTGTTCTTCCTGTGTCTAAAATTACAGGGAAAGACACTGAACCTCAACCACACTTTGAAATTATTACTACTAATAATTTATTATATTTATACCCCTATTTAGATTTAATAAGAATAATATAATCAACATAATGCCAAAAGATTAGGGGGTTGTTTAGAGTCCAGAGAAGAACAACAAAGATTAGAGGAGCGGAGGCTAACAGTACAATGAACAGTTGCAGGAACTGGGTATGAGAAAGAGAAAGTCTAAGGCTGATATAATAGCAGTCTTCCAGTATTTTATGGGCTATCACAGAGGATGGGATCAATCTATTTTCCAAAGCACATGAGAGCAGAACAGGAAGTAACAGATAGAAGCTTAACAAACAGAGATCCAACTCCGAATTAAGGAGAAATTTATGTCAGTGAGAACAATCAATGGAACAGCTTGTTTTCAGAAGTTGTGGGTGCTCCATTACTGGAGGTCTGTCTGAAAATGGTATGGGCTCATTTGTCTGAAATGGTATGGGCTCTCCTTCTTGAGGGGGTTGGACTAGAAGACTGCCAAGCTTCCTTCCAACTCTGTTATTCTGTACTGTGTGTATGCTACCTGGCTCCTATTAATCTGGATGTATTGTAAAGCACCTTTGTGTCACTTAGAAGATCATTGAGCAGAATTTTATTTCACCAACCCTTCAGTCCACGTTAAACATTGGCATTCAGCTTGAGGGAGCATTTGTATATGATGGTTGTCTTTAAATATTTTAGTGTATCATAGTCTGCCGAAATTATTCTTATTTGGGAGGGGGGTGAGACTATAAAAACTATGCAATAAAATCAGTAAATATTTTGTTATTTTAAAAAAACAAATACGATGGAACTGAATCATAATCAGCATGAGACTTTATACCTTTGTCCCCCACTTGATCCCAGTTTACATTGTGGGTTGAATACCCTACACCAGGGGTCTTCAACTCCTGGTCCACGGACCAGTACCGGTCCATGGCCTGCCAGCAATCGGGCTGCGCAAGCAAGTGAAGCCCCATCAGTGGGATGCAGGCAGCGTGCAAAACCATGCCCCATCTAGTACATGGAAAACCCTCTCTCCACAGAACCGGTTCCTGAGGCCCAAAAGTTGGGGGCCACTTCTCTACATTATCCAGAAGTCATCTTTTTATTTAGCCGATTGCCCTTTGATAAAGCAAGAGGCAGGTAGTTAGGTTTAATTCGGGAAATTGGTCTCTTCCCTTCCACATCCTTTATTGGTCTGAATGAAGCTCAAATGTTCTGTGGTTACTTTTAAGTTTAAAAAAAAAAAAAGGTGGGGAAACTAGCTATTAGCTACATTTTTAAAAAAACAGATTTCCCTGCTTCTAGGAGAAAGAAAAAAATATTACCGCCATTTAGTTTTCCTAGCTTCTTTTTCAGACTAAAATTCACTAAGAAGGATCTATAAATTAAAACAGCTTATTCTGTATTGTTATAGAGACATAGGTAATTCATATAAATATGAAAAATGTAATATTTTAATAACAAGCAGTTAGCATGTTAATGAATATCCTCTCCAAGGGAGAGGATATTAAGAATATCATCTTCAGAAATATAAATTTTAAAAAATAAAAATATTAGAAATGTTTTTTATATATTAGAACATCATTGGAATACAAAGCCCAGGTCTTCACTTATAATACAAAAGTAGTCTTTGAGTAATGATCATAATGGTGTCTGCCTGTTAGTCATAAGTTGTGACGGTTGTAAAGCTGGACCTGTTTTTACAACCTTTTTTGCAGTGGTTGTAAAGCAAACACTGCAGTTGTTAATCAAAACCATTGTTTGCTATGGGGCATTTTTGCCAAAAAACAGAAGTAAATGGTTTCGACAAAGACGTCATAAGTCACATAACCAGTGCAAATGGCCATATGTGCGGACCAGTTGCCAAGTTGCCAAAATGTAGTCACAAGACCATGGTGGAGAGTCTGACTGTTGGAACTTTAGAACCAGGTTGTAATTATTTTTGGGAGGGAGTCTATTGTAACTTTGACAGTCAAGAACTTACACCTGTATAGGCTTTGAAGTCTTAAAATGATGAATTTTGGCTTCAGATTTTTTTAAAAATGCTGTAAAAATTAAACATTAATATAAATCACCACCTTGCTTCCTGTGGGGGCTTTTTTGTTTTTTGGGTTTTGTCTATTAAAAATGCCTCAGACTATAAAATCGGCTACTCTTCCACAGTCAGTTCCTATAATTTTGGACCATATTTATGTCTTTTAGATTCAAGTCAGTCAGAAAGTCCCAGCCAGCCAAGCGAAGCTGATATTAAGGACCAGCCTGAAAATGGTGAGTTTTGCCAAGCTTATGTCAATTCAGTCTGTATGTTTTTTTAGGGAATTTCAACCACAGACCTTAGGAGATGCCTTAGATATATTAGATATGCCCATTTTCTTTCAAGTAAGGCAGGGCTGGGAAATCATGGCCCTTTTATGACTTGGGGACTTCAACTCCCAGAATTCCTGAGCCACCCATGCTGGCTCAGGAATTCTGGGAGTTGAAGTCCACAAGTCATAGAATGGCCATAGCTCCTCACCCTTGAAGTAAGGCCTGGGTAGTTCTGAGTGGAATTTAAATTTGTGCTTCAGTGTCACTCTTGGTATCAATGTAATTTACAATATGTTTAACTTTGGATAGATGGAACTTTTCAAAGCAAGCTCTATAGAGTTCAAATACATTAAACCCGGATCTAGTTTTGCAATAATAGAAAAGTGGGGGGGGGATGACACTCCCATTCCTCAAATGCTAGATAGAAGAAATTGAGTAAGGAGCCTAGAAAAGATATACTCAAAGAGAAAGAAAAGAGATGGAGAAATATACTGTATGGGAATAATCCCATTTTCAATTTAAAGGAACAAAACTAGCCATCTCTTGAGTTGCTAGTCCTTTCTAAAATAAGGCTTGGGTGCATCCTTTCTAGAATAATCATAAAGAGGTATAAGTCTACAGGTTTTTCTTTTATCTCCTTTTAGAAGGCCACCCAGACCCTAAAATGTTAATGCTAAATATTATTAAGGGAAAGAGGCCAACTCTTGAAGCTGCCTTGTTTTCACTACAAGTATACACAGAGTTATCCATTGAAATACATGATTATTATTATTTTTGTAAATACAGGTGGGAGTCATGAAGTTGACTCCCACCTGGTTGTTTTGGTGGGAAAGAGTTAAAAAAATTCTCTGCCAATACAAGTTTTTCAGTTCAAGACAAGTCTTCTTTTCCCACAAGTATATGATCCTATTAGTTTCTTTAAATAAAAACAAGATTTTGTGTTCTAAGTTCTATTTCAATACTTGTACTTAACATTTAGAAGTGATATCAAAGAGTTAACAGAATAACAGAGTTGGAAGGATCGTTGAAGATTAGCTATTCTAACCTCATACTCCAGCAGGAGATCCTACACCATTCCAGACAACTGGCTGTCCAATCTTTTCTTGAAAACTCCATGGAGCACCTATAACTTCTGGAGCAAGCTGTTCTACTGGTTAATTTTTTCTCACTGTCAGGAAATTTCTCCTTAGTTCCAGATTCGTTCTCTCCTTGATTGATTTCCATCCATTGATTCTCGTTTTGCTTTCAGGTTCTTTGGAGAATAGGTTGACCCTCCTCATCTTTGTGGCAGCCCCTCAATTATTTTGCATATATTTAATTATTTATATAATTTAAATATATAAATAGGTTACAGGTTTGGATTATGTGGAAAGTCAGTAGTTTAGATCCTCACTGACCATGTAATGGCATTATTTTGAAACTGATATTAAAACTAGCCTGAGAAAGCAGTGTCTCAGTAACAAAGAAGACATGTAGAAAGGTTGCTAATTTTAAAAAGTGTTAAAAGGTGTTGATATTAATCGTATTCCCATGAAAGAAAGTGCAATATATATCATTCTTTCTAAATTACTTTACAAGTGGGAGCTATTAGCTTTTTGTCTGATCTTTTTAATTTTAGGAGATTTGTTTCCCAGGGGTGGTCTTATGACTGTTAAATTAATTCTGTGTTTTGCACTAGATAAGGGAACAAATTCTGCCTATAGCAGATTAATAATTGTGCTAGTAGTAAGAAAATAATTTATTACATTTATATAACATCTGACTCCCAGCAACTCTGAACTTTACAGAAATCTAGTCTGGAGAAAAATGGGTAGGCACAAATGCTACTGCCAGTTATCGTTTTGTCATGTATAGAATAATTGGAAAACTTTTGTTGACACCATTTCTGATTGATTTCCAACCAAAATTATTCATTGTTTGAAAAAGTTGGAAACCTAAAAGACTAGATTGTGACCATTATTTTTAATATTGTGATTGGACATTTGGAAAACGTTTTGAAAACTCAAACTTACTCCAATAAATCATACTTCCTGTTGTCTTCAGTGAAACTTACATTCAGGAAAATGCTTAGGCATGTTTTTTTTATAGTTTTGGGTTGAATACATTGATCTATAATCATGGTTTGGTTTGTTGATCTTATCACACTGGGCTGGGCCCATATATGAGATCATAAACCATGGTTTACAAACCACAAGAGTTCACATAGGACTCTTAGTCAAGTTTAGATAAACCATATTAATCCCAAAATGATGATATATTGACTTTGTAGGCTTTCCTCAGTAAAAGTACCGTAACAATGCTTGTAAATGTCTGTAAAACCAAGTCACATATAACTTTGCTGTAACTCGTTCAATGCATAATATAATTACATAATAGACAATGCATAGTATAATTACATCATGTTCAATGTTCTCTAACACTTTCAAAGAATCTCATTTTAGTATCCCTCCTTCTAAAAGTCACAGAGTTAAAGAATCTGCTGGCAGTTACCTTATTTATCATCATAGGGCAGCTTGGGTTATAGTATTTAAATTGCAGTTCAAGGAGTATAAAAGAAAGTTATCTGATGTTGAAGAAAGAAGCTAAAAGAAAAACTTTGTACTTTCAAAGTTAGGAAGGTAAGTAGGCAGACAGGAACACCTCCGACACAGGATTATGGTTCAAAACAGGATAAATCACCAAGGTCAGATGTAGTCATCATAGCTTTTGGGAAGGCACATATTTCCAAAATGATTTGAAAGAAGTGCTACTAAGCTCAAGCGACTGCAACCACAATACTTCTCTTCAAGGTGTTAAGGTTGTGTGAAACCAAAAAATAAAATAAAAGGTTGAAGATACTTGAAGTCTCAGGCTAAAGCAGTTAGTCTCTTTCTTTTTGTGGATTCACACAGAAGCCTGAAAAGGGGAGGAGAGGGCTATTTTAATGAATAGCAGTTCAGTGCTATGTTTATAGGCAAGTCTATAGCCCTTCTTCACAGTCATGTTCAAAGTATGGCCTCATAACTTTCCAGTAAAATGTGTTGGTATAAACATTAGGTATGGCGCTTTCCTTTTTCTTCCATGCTTGAGAGAAGACTGAAAGCTTTAGTCTGGAGTCATTCCGCAAAGTTTTCTCCACTTCAATTTATGTAACTTTGTTTTATTCTAATTGGAATGGTTTCAAATATATCACACTTAAATCAGGAAAGGGAAGAACAAATTCTTGTCAAAGAAAATTAATGATTTCCCATTCCATGAACAGGGCATCTTGATGCAGCTTTATTGCATGGCATAGTGCTCCTATCAAAATATCCAGGGTGTGATACTGGAAAAGAATTAATAAGCACTAGACTTATAACACATTACAGTGAACTGAAAAACTGTGAACAATTATTCAACTGTTTCACTGTTTTTCCAGAATGAAACATTCTGGAATACATCTGTTTAACTGAAATTCAGAGTCTAAAAGATGCCAGATAGAAAGGGGCATGTGTGCTGGTAATACACACAGAAGTGATCTCCTGATTCCAGCCAGAGAAAGAAGACATTAGACTGGCTTAATGAAACATTATCCTGGTTTCTTAGTGCCAAGCAACATATTTTACTAAGTGGCTTTGTACGCTTAGCACAACTAACCCAGACTTTCCCTCATGGGAAACACATCATTCTTAAGCAGCAGGTAGAGTTTGGCCCCCTCACAAACACAACAGAGAGTGACCTACTCATCCCCACCCTTTCTAATTTTTATCCCTCAGCTTTTAGACTGTGTGTGAAAAATTTTAAAAAAATAGAATTTATAAAGCTAGTATGTTTTTATGGGGCTGCTCTGGTCTTTGTTACTGTCTCAGGAGTAGGAGAAAGTATTATCCACAGGACTAGGCTGTTTTGATCTACTTTGGTTGACTGGGCTTTTATATTAATACAACACAATACTTCGCTTTGACCAGTTACACATGTTACAACATTAACATAGCCAGTTGGGTAGCATTGAGTAATTCTTATTTTATCCTGTCCCTCATATCTATATCTTCAACAAGATTATCTCTTCCCAGTGTTATCCAAAGCAACTGTGCCACTGGAGTCTAGAATGTTAAGAAAAAGCCTCTATTACATCAGTGAGGAATAAGTATCTGGATGAATATTTTCTTCGCGTATGGCGTACAACGTCATAGAAATCTATACATTTTAGACAGTCTTGATAGCCTAGAATGCTAGTTCGTTCTGTTCAGTGCTTATGCGCCTATCCTTGGTGCACCTTGGGGTGTGAACTAGCTTTGTACCAGATAACTGGTGGCACTCTGGTTTCTGGCTCATCCGGTCTTGCCTCGTGTTGAAATGCCTTGCATCCAGCCATGTCCAGCGCCAACTTCCACTCTCCTTTCAGCTAGTTTTTTTTCCAACTGAAGTGGTACCCATTTATATACTTGCAATATTTCATGCTTTCAAACTGCTGGGTGGGCACAAGTTAGGAATCAAGTGACGGGAACTCCCTTTGTCTCACAGAGCCGAGCTCAAACTGCCAGAATGCAGACCATTTCTGGCTGCCAGTTCCAGCATTATTAAGCCTCTGCGCCATTGCGTCCCTTCTGGATGAATAATCTGGATGGAACGTATTAAGCAAATGTCTAGTGAGCATATACAGCTGTAACACCAATGATATAATTTATGTCTTACCATTGTAGATAGTCTTGTACAATTTTTCCATAATCCACCTCTAGTTGCATTTTTTGGTTTAATGTGGCTTCTCATGATATAAACTATGGGATAAACTTGCTTGGTAAGAATAAATTGGAATATTAAACATAACATTTATTCCATCTGGCATCAATAAAGATTGAATTCTTGCATCTTACATACTGTTTCTGGTCCAAGTTTAGAATTAAAAGTCGTTGGCCATTGTCACAACCGCGTATTATGGGAGTGCTCTTCATGGAAATAATGCACATTATTCCCGGTATATTGTATTTTTAAAAAGCATTTTGGAATTCATATAAGCACAGCACTTTTATGCTCTTTGTTAAAGCAACCATCTTTTTCAAATTTCTCTGTGAGCCTTAAAAAATACATGGTTCCATTTAAGTTAGATATTCACAGTGTATTTCATGCTCACACAAAAGTTGTCCTTCCTGGCAAAGAGAGGGAGGGAGGGAGAGATAGGCTGTCTTAATAACTAGCAGAAAGGAGTTGAGCTTTCAAGAAGTCCAAAGCATTTCTTCTAAATTGAGGATGGGTGGGGAATTCTGGGAATTGAAGTCCACCCATCTTCAAGACACTCAACTTCAAAGTTGAGAAACACTGTTCTAAATCATTCTTAAAGTATGCACACCTTGTTCTATGAGTTAATTTACTTTTGCAAATATGAGAGTGTCTATATATAAATGTATGCAAGTTATGTACAGTATGAGTTTTCTTAATGAATTTAAAAGATGTACCATAATCTTATTTATCAAAAACATAGCATCTCAATGGAACTCTCTTACAGTACCATTTCTATATAGTATGTATGGAGGTTTTTTTGAGAGGTATGTCTCTTTGGTATTAGTGATACTGTGGTATATGTGAATATAAAACTACAGTGCAATTTTGGGCATGTCTAATCAGAAATGCATTTAATTGAGTTCAATGACGCTTACACCAGTAAGATTTCAACCTTAGCCCAGAACCTATCATCACTGCCATCTCCTGTTATAGATATGGAACATGGTTGATTGTCAACCCAAAATAAAGGTCAATCCAATTCAGTCAATTCGCAAGACACTATTAAATTCAAGTGTGGGGGCTGCTTCATCAGTGACCTCTATAAATTTCAAGATTTGCCAATTGATGAAGGACAACATATTTCACAGTTGTTAACCATTAACTCCCACAGCAGAAGAGACTGGGAAAGAAGGGAAAGGACTCAATCAAGCAAGACTCATATAAATTACTGAAATATGAAGCAAATCCTTTGGGGTTGACAACATTGTTCAATATTAGTGATTCCAGCAACTGGGAAAGAAAAAGAAATGCACAGTAAACAGAATAAAATGTACATGTAGTACAGGGGTGTCAAACTGGCAGCCTGTGGGCTGGATGCATCACGTGCAGGCCACACCCACCCCAGCTCCGCGAAGGAGGAAAACGTCATAAAAGTCATGTGACAGCAACATGACACTGTGAGTTTGATACTCATGATATAGTATATTCTTGCTCTTAAAGGCATTCAAAATGACAACAACGAAGAAGGGGTGTCTTAATAGCGTCTCCTTCTTGATCTCCCTACCTGTCAAGAACATCTGTGGGGAAAATGTTAAAAAAAAAAAAACAAGATTTTTTTTTTACAGGTAGTCCTCAATTTATGACCGACCACAACTGAGCCCAAAATTTATGTTGCTAAGTGAGAAATTTCTTAAGTGAGTTTTGCCTCATTTTACAACTTTTCTTGCCAGATTTGTTAAATGAATCACTGCAGTTGTTAAATTAGTAACCTGATTGTTAAGTGAATCTGGCTTCCCCATTGATTTGGCTTAGGTCACAAAAGGGGATCACATGACTGCGGGAGACTGCAACTGTCATAAATATGAACCATTTGCCAAGCATCTGAATGTAAATTGCATAACCATGACTTATGACCATCGCTGCGATGGTCATTAGTGTGAAAAATGGTCATAGGTCACTTTTTCCAGTGCCTTTGTAACTTTGAGAGGTCACTAAGCAAACTGTTGTAAGTCGAGGACTACCTGTACCTTCGATGCAGTTGCCCTTCAAAAATATTTTCTCTAACATAATAGGATAGAGGGAGAATCAAATGGCCATAGCACATATCTCTTAGCCATGCTTTTTTTTTAAATACTTAAAAAGATCTCACCCATTTAGTTATCAGGATGTACAAATTTCAAACATGTGCCATCAAAAGACGTGTCAATTAAAGAACTTAAGTTTGTGTATGTGGGAAAAAGTTAAAAGAGAGAAAATGTATTTGCATAAAACCTTGTCACTAGAGCCAAGAGTAAGCCAGGTCATATGGCCCAGTGGAAAAAGCCTAATGAGGTCATTGATAACATTGTGGGCTGCTCAATTTACTTCTTGAGGATCTAAATCTCCATCTACTAATGATCATTAATTTCTATAGGTTAGCTATGGTTATTCTATTTCTATTCTGATAATTTGACATGATGGTTTGATACTGGTTATCTTACAGAAAGAAATTTCTTATAGAAAAGGCTTTATTGTATAGAATATCCAGTGGAATTTCTAACTTGTTGTACAGTATTTAATCCATTCAGATCTTCTGGAAAAGGGGTTCCTTACACTTATTTTTCTGTTACTGCTGTTTTTTAATGTGCAGATCTATTTGTATATCTACAGTCTCATTATGTTTTGATCTACTGTTTAAATCTCTTCTATTTGAGAATTTTCAGTCTAATTGGCACTGCTTTGATTTTCTTTTAATTGCCTTATTTTCTCTGTCATTCAAAAAACAAAACATTAGGTGAAGATTTCAGATTGTGTCAACGGAATTGTCGAATTACCAGATTCCCTTTACTTTTTCTAACCATTCAGATATCTTACTCATCTAATGTCTTGAGGCAATTTAAAGTATTTATGCTGGTTCTTCTTAATATTTTACAGCTTTAGGGGTAAATTTTATAATATCCCTGACCTGAGAGACCAGGTCTGTCTTGTGGCTCAGGAGAAAGACTGAGATCCTGATTAACTTTTCCTTTATTTACTCATTTTATTGAGATAGCAATGCTATTCATATCATTCTATTATTACTAATAGTCTATATACCGTGTTTCCCCGAAAATAAGACCATTTCTTATATTTTTCTGAACCCTGAAATAAGCACTTAACCTTATTGCCATGCACTCAAAAGCCCGATTGGGATTATTATCAGGGGATGATTTATTTGGGGAAAACAGGGTAGATCTGATATTTTTTTCTTGTATCAGATGCAGGTAAAATGCTACGTTTAGTGTGGTCAAATTTTGTGCTTGCCAGGTCCAATAAATTAATATTTGGAAATTGTGTTAGTGGTTAGTTATTCAGACCTTGATTTTTTTTCTGTATCTGCCTAAAATGTATTTTTTTTCCTTTGTTGTCTCATTATTTTAGATTGGTCAATGACCATAATAAAGATTTGATTGGCTGATTAATAAAATTGGATGCAGTTAATTTATACATTCACAATATTAGAAATGAATCTTTCTGATATTGTGTATGTGTACTGAGTGGTGGCTCAGTGGCTAAGACGCTGAGCTTGTCGATCGAAAGGTTGGCAGTTCAGCAGTTCAAATTCCTAGTGAC